AGTCCCGACTCATAGCGACCCCTCCTTGGGTTTCCAAGGCAGTATCACTACAGAAGTAGGATTGCCCAACCTTCCTTCTGAGGAGTGGCTGGTGGGTTTGAACCGCCAGCCTTCTAGTTAGCAGACAAGTGCCTTAGGCACTATACTACCAGAGCTCCTAAGAAAGGAATAAAAGCAGTCAAAAGACCACTGGAAAACACTGTGCTTGGTCCATGTCATTTGATCTCTTAAAGACTATGATCTTACTACTATTTTAATAAAAAGTTGCATTTTGTGTGAAAAATTCACCAGTCTTTTTTCCATCTTATGAAAAATCCATCAAATTTGATCTAATATTGTAAAATTCTTAAAACTTCAGTCTCTTTTCAAACTCATTATTTGCAGGTATCATAAACCAAGGCAAATAAAGCTCATTTCCCCTCAAGTCTTCTACAACTTAACACACACCCTCAACTTTAGCTTTTACTATCTTTCACATTCTGGTACAACTAAATATTCTATGTAAGACAAAACTATTTTCCCCTGAAAAAAAAATTTATTACCAGTCATTTTGCCTTCTCTCTCCTGTTATCCCCTAATGATTCATAGAGGCTTGGACGTGCCTTAAACGAGTCTCCCATGGATATTTAATTGGCTCTGGCCAGAAGTTCACGCTCCCAGGCATGTCTTCAGTACTTGAGAAGGGGAGTTGTCCACAGACCTAGCACTTGGTTGTGTGGTGGACTTCCGCAAAGCTCTGAGCCATTCTAGGAAGCCGTTCACAGCCCCAAAGGCAAGAAAAAAAGAGTAGGACGTAACTACGGTACTACAGTTGGAAAGAGAGGTGTTTAGTATGTACCAAGAGGAGGAAATCTTTCCCTTCTATTAGGATTATGCTAGTGGCTTCTCAGGGTGATGAGAACAGTGGCGGCCTTAGGCACTTTTCCTGGCTGAATATACCATACATACATGCTGCCCCAGGGAGGTCACCTGAAGGATTGTGAGTAAAGTCACCCAATTTGCTCTAAGCCAGAAAAGGAAACCTACTTCCGTTCCTCGTGCTATAACCATTGTCCCAGTCCAGGTGAAGCATGACTCAGGCCCTCTGTGCAGCGGGATGGTGGGTTCCCATGTTAAGCCAATCAGTTCCTCTGCCTCAAGAGGGATGAAGTAACCAATATATCCTAGAGGGCTGACCCATAACAAGCACCAGTATATGGTTCCACTTGCCAGAACCAGGTCCTGAAGTGTGCAGAGGACCACGCTGCTTCCAGAGCCCACAATGTCACTCGTATCATGGTTGGAAGGTCATCCAGGGCTCTGAGTCTCGCCTGTGGGGCTAAAGGCCCCAGTGGGAGCTGAATTTATTTGCCTCAAAACTTCAGGCAGCACTTTGGCCCAAACCGTCAGGAAAGCTTTGCTTGATAGTCTACCTGCCAGTTCATCCTTACCTGTGTTCCCTAGATACATGTTCAGGATTGTGGGGCAGATGCCTTGGGTATTGATTAGCATGAGCACACGGGGTAATTTTGAACAGCAGTCACTAAACCATTAACTATACTGCTATGTATGTTTCTGGCTATTTTCCAACCCACACAGGAGTGCAGTGTCTGCTTTTCTGGTGAATCCTGTAGATAGCTTCCCTTTCTGGACACACCATTCTAACTTGTGCTATAGTATCTGCTTCTTGGTTCCCTAGCAGGGAAAGAAGTGAACGGGCTGCTGCATGAAAAACAGGTCAGTGTCCAAAGTTTGGAGATAATCCTAGATGTCCTTGTGGGATTTCCTCCATAAGACCTTGCCCATTATCTTCCACTGCTCCTTATACCCTTGGTTGATTGACATCATTAATCCACAGGTTACTACCCAACTGTCTGCACAAAGAGTTATGGGCCAGGGGTCATAGATGATGACCATCCATCCAGCCTTTAATATGGCTTATTGATTGCTTTTCCCTAAGCCAGTTTCATATGGCTCAGCCACAGCAATCTGTGTACCAGATGTCTGCTAGCAACAGGCCTTTCCCTCTCTTAGCAGAGAGGGGAGGAAGCTCTGGTGACATACTAGCCTGTGCTGGGGTAATCTTGAATGTAGCCTGTCTTATATTTTACCCAGTGTTTTCATTTGTGCAAGGAACATTTTCACTTTCTCGAAAGCTTGCTGCTATTCTGTTCCAAGCTGAACCCTTTTTTTACCAGTCAATAGTCTCAAGCACTGTGCTAAGTGTGATACAAATACCCTCCAACATCCCAAAATACCCTAGGAATTTTACTGATGTTCCCACCTCCTGCACCCTTTGGGGGTTCATGGGTCATCTCCTATGTAGGTGGGTGATTAGAGAGCAGCTAGTAAATCCCACAAGAGAGAAGCATCTTCAGCAGTTAACATGATGTCATTGATGTAATGAAACCAATGAATAGGAGTGGGGAAAGGAAACAGGTTTCTAGCAACCATACCATGACAAGTGATGGGGCTGTGTAAATACCCTTGTAGCAGCACCAAGAATGTCCACTGTTGTCCCTTCCATGTAAAGGGCTCTTCCTGAACAGGTAACTAGGAACATCCATGCCAGTTACTGTCTTCTGAGGACAACTAAAGGAAAGTACTTTCGATGAGCCCAGATCTAGAGCTTTGAACTTGTTTGAACTAGTTCAGTCATGGCTGAAAAAGCAAAATTGGAACAGGTTTGGATTTTTTTAATTTGAGTGAAGTGGAACAGCAACTAGAATGGGGAAAATTATGAGTTGAAGCCCTGGAGTAGGAGTCTTGGAAAAAGTGTATTCAGTCAATTCGGGAGCCTGATGTGGGAGACTGGATTATTGTCAGGACTGTGGAGACTGACACACATTCAAAGCAGTGCAGTCAGCTGCCATTTTGGGTTGGCCAGTGCTGTTTCTGACTCTCACTATCAAGATATTTGGTTGCTATGAAACACATATATTGTCCTTATTTTCTAAGGGGGAGATTAAGTTTCTAGCAGCACAGCAAACCATAATTTTCCCCATTGTATTCTAGTTCATCTACATTATACAAATTCAGGTCCATTCTGATTTGGCTTCAATGGCCATGATTGAACTAGGAAAAACTGATTTGAAGCCCTGCCCAGAACACATGAGGACAGCCTTTAAAAGGTCCTGATGATGAAGGTGTGAAGCTGCAACTGAGTGTGTCCAGAAGCCCACAGACACACACACCTTTGTTGCAACTCTAACTCCATAAAGCGGGACTTGAGGGCAGTCATGTCTCTTATGTACTGAATGCCATGGACATGGTAGTGGTTATTACCTCTTCACTCAAGCATTTCCCATTTGTCAATGAGGGCTCTGAGGCCCAGAGAGGCAGTCACATAGCCAACCTTGCACCCAGACAGTCTCCCTCTGGAACCCAGACTCCTGACCTCCACAACCAGCTGCCTTCAATGGGCCTGGCCTCATCAGAGCCTGATCAGACTGAGTTTTGCCTCCAGTGGTGGGGAAGGAAATGCTGCCCTCCTCAACACTGAAGCTGCGGAGAAACACAAGAATGTGAGATGAGAAACTGAGTACCTTCTCTCACACATTGCCCTTAGATCTGAAGGATATCCTTGCTGTTTTCTGCCCTTGCATGGGTTCCATCTGAGTCAGAAGAGCAGCCTTCCTCCACCTGTCCTCATACCATGCAGTTCTCAGGATAGCACCTGGGAGCATGACTACCCATTGGTTTCAGTCTGTGTTGGGGGCCTTGGCAGAACTGACAGGGCAGTTCCATAGAACGTTGCTGAAGCCATTGAACTCACCTATATGAACACCAAAAACTAAACCCATTGCCATTGAGTCAATTAAAACCCCGAAAGACAGAGTAGAACTACCCCATACCGTTTCCAAATCTGTAATCCATTTGGAAGCAGACTGCCATATCTTTTTCCTGCAAAGCAGCTGGTGGGTTTGAACTGCCAAATTTTGGTTAGCACCCAAACATTTAACCATTGAGCCACCAGGGCTCCTACCTAAGTGAAAGAATTTTGTAAACGTTGACACCATCATCCCCACCAGCACTCCTGGGCACTGTTGCATTGTTTCCTTAGTGCTTATCAATAACAGATATATAAATATCATTTTTATTCCAGTGTTTATAGAAGGGAAGAAGAGAGGATGAAGATAAAGTGCTTTACACATGAGGAAGCATCTTCATGGTTATCAGTCAGCACCTGTGGGTACCCAGCTGTCATCTGGCCTCGTCCAAGATTTAGGACATGTAGGTCTGTTCCCATACAGAGGGCTGGCAGAGACACTCAATGAAAGCATTTTGCAAATATATATCTGTGAAGGTGTATTTCTCTATCTTCTGCTCCCCAGGCACAATATATGCAGCAGTGTGACCCTATTTCATTAGTAAAGAAATGCCAGTCTGCCTATTCCCTTTATTAGGTGCCCCCACAGGCGCCCATATGTCTGTTACACTGATGACCATCAACAATGATCACTATTCTTATGGATGGAAGTGTCCAGAGAAGGGCCCCACCTAAAACCTCTCTTCACTGAGAAGTACAGTTTTACTTTTGACTGGTTGGTACCAGCCCAAGCTCTCCACACAAAATTCCATCCAAAACAAGACTCAAAGTCCTCAAAAGCATGGCACAATCTGTCAGCTAGTTTATACCTACCTGTTCTGCTGCTGGGTGAAGGACACAAATTTTTGCTTATCATTACATGACATTTATTAATAACACAAGGGATAATCAATCATGGAATTACATTCTAACATGAATTCAGATGCTTGTGTTTTTCATAAGGAATTTTTCAAAAATCTAAAATGGTACACAAAAGAAAAACTATGGTATTGTGGAGTCTACATACTGGTCATATTCATATTCTCACATTCAATAAGCAGAAAATAAACCCGAAGCAATGAAAAATCTGTTTTAATTTCAAAACCTAATCTCTGTTTTCTTTTTGGTTGCTAAAATAAGTTAGTCTGTTCAGAATCTTTCCAGGGCAGTACTCCAGGCTAACTCTGGCCCTAGGCTCCACACCCTGTTATCCTCAATCCAACTGACCACCTTGGGAAGCCTGGGGTATCACCTGAGGCTCATTATACACAGCATCTCTTCTATCAGGGAGAAATGACTTCTCTCCAGCACAAAGCAAACTAAAAAGAAGGGAAAATGGAAGACGGTGGTGACAAATTCACGCCTGCTGTCCAAGGCCTCACCCTCTGGCACAGAGTCCTGTGGCAGACTCACGCCCTGCACTGTGGGTTGGTCACACGGCCCAGGATGTGGGCAGTGGCTGCTTGCTGCTCATAGACTACAAACAGGAATGGGCTATTGAGGGTCACCTCCAAGGCTTCAGGCTCTCCAGGCTGCTGGGCTGACTCTGAGGGCTGCTTGCCTTCATCCACTTTGAGTTCAAAAAGGATGCTAGTCAGTACCTGCAAAAGAGTGACGTCAGGAGGAATAGGAGACAGGGGGCAGTGGGGAAGTGTCCTCAGAGTTGTACGGCACTGGGTTGGGGTGGGGGTGCTTTTTCAGCAATCAGGGCAATGTGCCCTCAGGTATATGGGCAGCCACAGCCTGGCTCACATGGTGGCTCCTCTCAAAGCATCACTCGAACCCTTCTGCCTCCACCTGTCCATTGCCCCTGGCAGACCCAGTTGCTGCCCCATGATGGCACACAGGACTCCTCATCCTGCAGAATGAGCTGAGTGAATAATGAGGGATCACATCCCTGTGAGGTAGGAGGGCAGGCCTGGGAGTGCTCCCTTTTCTCCCCTGCACCACCACAGTACCCAGAAGCTTAGTCAATGGCTGTGGAGGTGCACCAGCACATGTAGTATATGTCTACTGCTGGGTGTTTCCCTGAAGCAGAGAGCTGTGTGACAAGATTGGGACTGGGGTGAAGAGAGTGAGGCACTCTTTCTCAGAGCCCCAGGCACTTCCCTTTCTGCAGCCTAGTCCCAGTCCTGCCCTACAATCTAGATGGGACCCTGGACTGAACCAACATATACTCCACAAGAGGAAACCCTGCTGGAGGGGGACTGGATGCCCTCCACCTACACCTGGCAGCCCATTCTCTCCTTCCTCTTCACCTCCCCCCACCCCACCCTGAAGGCTTCCTCTGTGCTGTTATTCTATCCCATCAACCCCATGGTGGCCCCACATGCTACCTTTCCAACTCTAATGTTGGTGTCGCTTATTTTGCCCAAGTGTGCATCAGGGCCCAGCAGAGTAGGCAGCTTAGCCTGGGTAAGCAGGTCCTGCAGGTCATAGGAGTCCTCCAGCACCAGATGGGGCATGGTCAGGCGTATGACCCTGGGGAGAGAGTCCACTTTAGGAAAATTCCTTAAGAGCTCCCACAGAGGGGCTCCCGGCTGGAGGGATTGGGCTGGCCTTGGAAATACCTGTCTCTGAGAACATTTTGCCCACCATGCCCAACTAGGTTGTCCTAACCCTTGAGAAACACTTTTTGCAATAAATACAATAATATCCTTTCATGTCTTTTGAGACAGTATAATCAGGACATACACAATTTAACAGGGATAATCTCTGGGTGACAAACCATGAATAATTGTTCTTTGTTTTCTTCTGTTTTTAGGTTGGGTGTATTGAAGATGTATTGCTTGGCTAATTGAAAAACTACCACATATTCTCTAAAATAACATGTCTTCCTAGCCACTGCTAACCAGAAGGCTGACAGTTCAAATCCACCAGCCACTCCATGGAAGGAAGATGTGGCAATCTACTTCTGTAAAGATTTACCACCTCAGAAAACCTCATGGGGGTCACTATGAATCAGAACTGACTTGATGGCAGTGAGTTTGGTGACCACATAGAAAAGTCTACTTCTTCCTCGGCATCCTTAAGAACGTATGAATGCTTCTGGTGACATCCAAACATTTAAAAGAGTTGACATCTGAAGGCCATTTGTAGACCCCATGATATGTCCCAGTGCCAGACTCAGGAGCAGATTCTTGGGCTCCATTGGCCTGGTCCTGAAAGTTAGGATAAAGCTATGCTTCTGTTAAAGAGAACTGGCTTTATTTTTGCCACACTAGGAAAAAAGAGCCAATGGCAACCCTGCTCTAGGCAGCAAACAAAGACTACACAAGGAATGAGTGTTTTGTAAGTCAAAGAAAGTTCCTTGAGAAAGCTTCCACCCTCAGATCTCTTTCAGAAGTTAGACCATCCTGGAAAGTCTGTCAGCAAGAAGCTCTTGGAATGCTAAAGCCTGAGTAGGTGTGAGGTGGGGTGGGCAAATATGCCTCCCTCTCCTTCCAAAACATGTGGGTAAATACAAGCAAAGAAAAAGAATGGTTTCTTCTCCCCTTCACCTTACCTGCACTCAGAAAGAAAGATGATAAATTTAAAAAGAGATCAATAGATGGATGGGTTGGTGGATAGATGACTGGGTGGGTAGGTTGGATGGCTGGATGGATGTATGGGTGGGTGAACACATAGGTCTGCTCCAGAAAAGCAGTGGCAGTATATGTGACCACCTGGCTAGACCAGTACCTTGCTCACCCTCCCTGCTCCATGCCTGGGTAGAGTGTCATGATCTCCCACTTTCTATGGGGGACCTGAGATTCAGTACATGTTTACAAGAAGCCATACCGAGGAGCCACATTCTTCTTGCGCGTCAGGAAGTCAACCTGGAGAGTATGGGCCTCAACTTTCTCTAGGTCTGAGGCATCCTGGGGCTGGATCAGTAGTAGGCAGGCATTCTCGCTGAAGGGCACTCGGGTCACAGAGAAGTTGTTGCTGGCATCGTTCCAGTGCTGGAAGATGCCAGTGCCTGAGAGCATGGGCACAGACACTGTGGTGGTGTTGTCCACCCAGAACTCCTGGGGCTCCGCCAGCAGGGACAGTCCCTTCAAAGTCCCTGGAAACCAAGACAGGGTAGGTAAGGTAGAGTTGATGGTAGCCAGGCAGCAGCGAGGCACAGGAGGAGGAGTATCCACCAAGCAGAGACAGTGGGAGGGACTGGCTTAGAGCTGAAGCCTGAACCCTCCTCTGAGGTGCAGCAGCCTCAGCCCCAGTCCCCCATAGAGAAAAACGGGTGCTTCTGAAGAAGGTGGCCTTTCACAGGAAGACACTGGAAGACCTTGCTACCACTCATACCTCTCCTCGCTTCTCCTCCTCTTCCCCAGCACACCCCAGACTTCTCTATATGTTCCTCAGCACAATATGTCACCCTGGGTATACTTCCAGTCTTCCTCCTCCAAAATCCAGCCATTTTGAATTCAAAAAAATAATAATGGCCATTTGTTGAATACCAGGTAGTAAACCTTCTCCTCTAAGCCTGGCCAAGGAGCCACAGCTCAGAGCACTGAAAGAACTTACCCAGCTAGAAACCACCAGATAGCCCAGACCCTCTGTATCTGAACACAACATCAGCTATGATAGGACTGCTGGTGGCCCTCCAGCTGCCACTCTTACTTCTTACAGGTGGAGAGCCTATCACTGGGCATGTGGCCTGGAATAAAGACCCACTTCTCAGCATCCTTGATGCTAGGGGTAGATGTGTGACATGGGATTTGAACAGAGGCAACATGTGTAACTTAAATTCAAAGAAGCTAAGTTCATGTAGGGAACTAGGACTACAGAGCAAGGACACAGCAGGAGTCCAACCCCTGTTACAACAGAGGAGCAGGGCTTCCCTAGCTCAGGCTGTCATGGGAGAAGTAAAGAGCTGCTGTTACTATTCTTTGGGGTCTCCCCATTACAGCAGTCCCAGTCTGATCCCAATCACTCTCTCCCCCTGCAATGTTCTCCCTCATCTGGAAAGGGACTCTCCAGGGGTATTTCTAAGAGGACAAGGGGATGCTGTATAGGATATCACAGACTGGCCCTTCAGTCTTTCTTGTCCTGACTCGGAGCTCTCCCAAGTGCCCAAGAAGGCCTGGGGGAGGTGTTTTAATCTAAAGGAATAAAGGACTAAATCTCTTTCTTCCAACAAAGCTATCTGTACCCAACAGAGAAGGGATGCTGTCCCCAGAGGATGATCTCTGAAAGGAGATGGCCACCCTCTCTGCTCCTCTGAGTACAGTGCACAGTCCTCTTCACAAGGTTAAGTCAATCTCCAAGGTCCAGTCAACTGATGTCCTGGATCTCAGGATGATAGGAAGTGTGGACCAAGGGCACCGGACTCAGTAACTCAGACCCCTGGCCTGTGATCATCAGAAATGCCCAGAGATTTGTGAAGGCCATTTTCATGGAACTTTATTGCCAAAGGGGAGCTTAATGTACATAGACACCATGCTAATTTCATGAATACACTGTGTATAGAGGGCAGGAAGGCATTCCAATTCTCACTGGATAGAGATGGAGGCAGGGGTGGTTAAGAAGCTGGGCCCAGTCAGAAGGCAGGAACAAGGTGGAGGTGGGTTGTGTCCTGAGTGCAGTCTGCAATTTTCCACTCTCTGCTCTCCTCCTCTACCCCCTATTTCCCAGCTCTGCAGTCAGAATCCTGTTGGTTGGCATCTTTTGGAAATGAGACTCCCGGGGCACTAGGGCCTCTGTCAACTTTGCTTTCTGGGGGATCACTTCCTCACTGACACACCTCCTGGAGCTCCTATGAGGGAACAGCTGAGACAAACATCCCCAAAACCCTCAGAGAGAGTGCAGCAGCCCCAGTGCTGGCTCACGAGCAATACGCATCATCTCTTAACTGTACTCAAGTAGGTTGGAGGCTCTTCTTTTCTGTATTATTCACAGTAACTCCAAGGACACTATCACTGTAGAAGATTATCATGCTCTACCTACCATCTGTGTCTCCACAGTCCTCTCTCAGCTTCTCACTTCTCTCTGTCCTCCACAAGGTTTGCCTATTTTCTGGGACAGCCTCATCAGTGTCTCTCAAGTGCATCTCTCCTTGCCCCCTGCCCATGCACTTGCAGAGTCACTCCTGGAGTGCGTGTCCCCAGCCCAGTTTGCCTGGACTCTTGCATAACCTGCAGGCTGCCCTCCCTGCCTCCAATCCACACAGTATAGGCCATCACAGTGGCCAATGAGCATCACTCTGCCTTGTTCAACAGCCTACCCATCAATGAACTGCAATGCAGGAGTCACTCAAAGTCTCAAAGGCTCTCAAAATCTGGTCCCAACCAGTCTTCCAACCCTGTCTTCCACTGGTGCCATTTTCATTGTATGCTCTGGTCAAACAAGCCACTTGCTGTTCTCTGTCCTTGCCTTGAACTCAATGACTTCACTCACGATATCCTCGCTGCCTGGAATGCCCTCCCTCTGCACCACAGTCCTACCCCTGGGGACTCCACTGAGACCTCTCCTATGTCCCAGAGTATTCCTTCTCCTTGGTGGCTCTTAGCAGTTCACTTTTCTGGAGCACTTCCACTTGCAACTTGATGTTCAGGTTATTTGTTTGCATGCCTTCTTTCTCTCTTTGCACTTTGACAGGCAACATGGGGGAGGGCCTGCAGCCTATTCCCACTTGAAGCACCTAGTTCAGAGTCTTACAATGAATGAGCAATGTTTGTAGCACAGATTTTTTCATAACATCCACTCCCAGCATGAAACTGATAAGAATAAGCAAATTATTATCAGAGTTACTTCTGCATGTAATAGTGAACCTAGTCCTTGCTCTTCCTAAGAGAAATGAACCCTTCCTTTGGCTTGAGCACGAGGCCAGGAGGTGTGACCATGTGATCTTGCACAAGTCATTTTGCTTCTGTGAGCCTCCACTTCCTCATCAGTAAGTAAACACAATGATACTCTTCACTGCATCAATAAGTAGCAATGAAAGTAAGATATGTACCACAGTAGCTGCACACATCCCTGGGGGATAAAAATGGTCCTTTGCTGGTCTGCTAACCCAAAGGCTGGCTGTTTGAGTCTTCCCAGAAGAAAGCCTTAGCAATCTACTTCTGAAAACACGGCAAATGAAAACCCTGTGGAGCACAGTTCTAGAACTCTGTTGTACCTGAAGTCATCAAGATCTCAGAACTGACTCCAGAGCAACTGGTTCGGTTTTTCTGGTTAGCTGCATACAGTAGGGCAGTAGGAGAGTAGGTAACTGCTCAATCATTGCTTATTCAAGGACTCACATGGGCAGCCCCTCCAGTCCTCTTTTTTTCACTTCCACTCCCACGCTCCATCTCTCAGTCCCAGCTATGTTTAGCTCAGTGGCAGCACTAAACATGACTCCACAAGGACAGGGAATTGCAACACTTCACAACCAGCTTAGGACCCAAGGGTCTGCCTTACCTTGGAAGTGGACAAAGGTGTTGAAAAGCAGAGTGCTGTCTGGGCTGATTCCTGCCAGGGGTATGCTTATTTTCCACCCTGTCACGGCCTTGATGAATCTCTTGATCTTCTCAGCAGCGAGATCTGGGTTTGTGGACAAATCTAAGGAGCGTGGAAGAGTGACGAGGGCAAAGGGAGCCAGGCCTTCCACGAATGGCTGCTTCAGGGACAGGCTGGGAGCTGTGAAAAGGCCCACGACTGTGGACAGGAGCAGCTGGACATCATCGTATTTCCTGTCCTGGTCCACAAGAAAGCCCTGGATGGTCTGTAGGGCAGAGAGGACCTTATGTCCATCCAGTCGGGAAGTGCAGCTCTGGGTGTCTAAAGGGACACCCAGAAATGTCTGTAATTTGCTGGCTGTGGGGTCCAATGCCCCTAGGTAGAAAGAGGCCAGAGTGCCAAAGAGAGCTACTGGGGAGAACACATGGGCTTTGTGCCACGTCTTGCTCAGCACAGTGTACACATGCAGGCCCTTCAAGTTGATCAGTGTCCCAACCCCCAGGGCCCTCACCCTGTCAATCTCCTCCAGTTTATTGACTGCTGATGCCAGTTGGATTCTCAGGGCCTCCTCATCCACAGAGGATGTCTTGGCCTGAATCGGAACAGGGATGAAGGTTGGGACTGGGGTTCCCTCTTCATGGGCTATCTCCAGGTCCTCACAGCTGCTCTTGTTGTAGGTAAGGAAGTGGAAGGGGTGGATATACACCCGGTCACTGGTGGCCAGGTTAGCCCAGGCTAACAGACAGAAGACGGTGGCCCTCAGGTTCACGTTGGCAGGGGCCATCTCTGATGGAAGCAGTCACTCTTCGTACCCTGAAACATCATTTTGTGAAGAGTGAAAACTGATTATTAAGTAAGGTGACTGAGTCCCCACTACTCAAACTTTTCAAGGAGCTCTGGTGGTGCAGTGCCTAAGGCATTTGACTGTTAATCAGGAGGTTGGCAGTTCAAACCCATGAGCACCTTTGTGGAAGGAAGATGAGGCAATCTACTTCCATAAAGATTTAATGCCTTGGAAACCCAATGGGGGTCGCTATGAATCGGAATTGACTCGATAGCAGTGGGTTTTTGTTTGTTTGTTTTAGTCAAACTTTCAGTTGTTCCAATATCCCCTGTAACCATGTAGCCTAGGGAAAGTTCATCCATTTTTACATATAATGAAGAGAAGAGATGGATTTAAAACTCTCTGGGAAATACCTAAGGAGCTCTAGAGGTGCTGGGGTTAAGGTTTGTGCTGGTAACCAAAAAGTAGGCAGATAGAACCCACCAGCCACTCCGTAGAAGGAAGATGGGGCAATCTACTTCCATGGAGATTTAAGCCTTGGAAACCCAAAGGGGGTTGCTATGAGTTGGAATTGACTAGATGGCAGTGGGTTTGGTTTTGGTTTTTGGGAAATATACATATGACCTGGGTGGTGGTGGTTGTTGTTATGTGCCGTCGAGTCAGACTCGACTCATAGCTACCCCTCCTTGGGTTTCCGAGGCAGCATCACTACAGAAGTAGATTGCCCCATCTTCCTTCTGAGGAGTGGCTGGTGGATTTGAACCACCATCCTTCTGGTTAGCAGTCAAGTGCCTTAGGCACTATGCTACCAGAGCTCCGTAACCCTTATATCCTTAGGCCTGTAGTTCTCCCCAAGAGAGCCCTACATGGACCAGCCAGAGGCCTCTGTGGAGACTTCCCAGTCCCAGGGAAAGTGGAAAAGGATTCAGTCCACATCCTCTGATAGCTCGTAGGGCCACTGGAAGACAAGACTATCAGACACAGAGGCTCTTCCCACACTATAAGCTGGCTTGGCCAGAAAGACCCAGCTGGGTCATGTCAGCCAGGAAATCTACACTTTATTTCCCAGCCACCATATGTCATTTAAGAATATAACCCAGTTGATGTGGAATTAACTCCCTCATAGCAACACCATGTATCGGAGTAAAACTGTGCTCCATAGAGTTTTCAAGGCTGTGACCTTTCAGAAGAAAATCACCAGAACTGTCTTCTGAGATGCCTTGGGAGGGGTTCAAACCTCCAACCTTTAGTTTAGTAGCTATATGCTTAACCATTTGTGCCACCCAGGGACTCCACATTTGTATATGTAACAGTTTACAAAAGCTCATTTTCATATCCTCTGAAATTGTTACAATAATCAGATAAGGAAGGAATTATTTCACCTCTTTACAGACACAGAAAGAAAAAGTCTGAGACAGGAAGAGATGGTCCAAAGGTCACACAGCAGCTAAGTGACAGAAATGCCACTCAAGCCTACTCTCTTCTTCAGTAGCTCTCAGCTCTGGTACCGCTGGACTGACTGCAAAGCTTTATAAAACGCTAATGCCTGGGTCTCACCCTCACTTGAAGGGAGGATGTTCATTCCATTGTTCACTCAATTCTAAACAATTTATACGATATCTACACATTTCCTTCAGAAAAGGTGTACTGTATTACTCTCCTTAATCTTCTTTTCCCCTGTGTCCCGATACCTTCGTCCCTGATACCTTCGAGGCCTCCTCCTTGCCCTTCCAGAACTAACAGTAGGGGGTGGGGATGACTTTTACAACCCTATACACGGTCTGCCACCAGTTGGCTTCACTTGTTTTGCTTTGGAGCCATAGTATGTGATCACTGCTCAAGGTCATCTTGTGACCCCCTGATGAAGAGATTTTTTCCATGCACACATCCAGTGTATATCATATTTGTTTTTCTCCCCTAGGTCTGGTTAAACTGAAAATGGTTTCATCTCTCATAAATAGATATCATCAAATTGCCAATGGAACTCTGAAACTCTGATCATAGTCAAAAAAGGTTCCTGTCTTCTGGACATAATTGCAAGAGTAACAATAATCTCTTTCTCTGCCCCTTTTTACGCATTTCATGGCCATCTCCTTGATCCTCCCCCCCGCCAGAGATTCTCCTTGTTCTCCTCCCCATGCATTTGACAATATCAACTGTTTTCATGAAAAGCCACACAAAACAGAAAAATGGAGCAGAAAGCTCTCTCCTCCTCCTTCCAGGCCTTTCTGTCCAGATAAGATTAAGTTACCAGTTCACTGCTACTCCAGATGGCCAAACCAAACTGAAACATCAAGGGAAACAGTGGGACCTATTGCTGAAGAAATCCAGCCTGCTGGGACAGGCCACACAGGGCCTGGGCCTGAGCAATGCAGAAACAACACAGCACCCTCCCCCTTCACAGGAATCACCTCAGGTGAAGCAATTTCATGGATTGTTTTCAAGGTAGAAATTGTTTGCTTTCAGTTGTGATCTGCTACTGCTGCTGCTCTCCAAGCTGGCTCCAAGTCAGCAAGCAGCTTGGTCCCAAAATAAATGGAACCTCCGGGGGGGTACACCCCGAACTCTCTCCCTGGGGTCTTGCCTTCCTCTTTCCTTCCCTCACTTGGTTCTCCTTCTCCACCAATCCTCTCTTCTGTTTTCCTACTTCTTTGGCTCTGGTAGCACAGTGCCTAAGACACTTGACTGCTAACCAGAAGGCTGGTGGCTCAAACCCACCAGCCACTCCTAGTGATACTGTCTCGGAAACCCAAGGAGGGGTCGCTATGAGTCGGGTCCGACTCAACGGCAAAAAAACAACAATAACAACATGGCTCTGAAGCTTTACAATAATGTGAGGATAACAACAAACACTTATGTACATATACTGAGTGTTTGCTTAGTCTTAACTATCTCCTTCCACTAGAATGTAAGCTGGATGAGCACAGAACTCGTCTTATTTTGTTCGCTGATATATCCTGGCAAAATAATGTCTGTGACATAGGAAGTACTCAATAAATCATGACTAAATGGAATCTTTGGTGCCATTTTTCAGAACAGAAAAGCTAAATGACTTATCCAAGGTCACACATCCTAGACAGAACTAGGATTCAAACCACACTGAAGCACCAATCTATACTGCCCCTTGAGTAAAATAATAAGAATCTGCATTCTTAGTTTATCCTAAAGTTTATAAGTTATAAAGTTTATAAGTTTATAAAGTTATAAAGTTTATAAGGTACTTTACATCAGGTCTCTTACTCACACCACAGCCCCATGAGAGGGGGGGGGCTGGGTATTTTCATTACTCCTATTTTATAGATGAGCAAATTGAGGCTCAGGGAGAGAAAGTGATTAGCCAGCACTGAAACCCAGGGCCAGAGACAGCACTGCCTGAAGGAGCTGCAGGGAAATGCAGACCATACCTCACATGAGGCACCAGAGGAGGTGGGCTTTGAGGAGACTCACCTGTGGGGTGACAAATCCTGGGCCCTCCTTCACAATCTCCCTGCCTGCCACAGCAATCTTTGCTCTTCCCCTGAGCAGACCAGGACCTTGTGGACTCTGGACCATCACCATAAGGCTACTCTTGTGCCCAGTGTTCCTGAGGACTCCAGCAACCTGCTCTGGCTCAGAAGAAGCAGTTCTCCTTTTAATATAGGAATAAGGGCTGCAGGAGGGAAGACGGCCAATATCTGGATGTCCTTGGTGTTTGAGCAGCAACGACCCCTGCGGGATATGGCCCCTCCCGCCTGGCAGCATCTCTACCCAAGCCTGCTCGGCCATGTCTCCATCCCAGAGCACACTGCCTGGGCTGTCTGAGAAAGGAAGAATACAGGACAGAAGAGGTGCTTGGGGAAGGGGCTCCACTTACCTTCTGCTTGGCCCTGGGAACAAGAATGGCCTCAGACTGACCCCCAGGCCCTATTTGTATCTGAGGTGGGAGAGCGCTGAGAGCAACTGCGAGCTGAGTGGAGGGTGGGATTATGTCACGTGTCCTGGACTGGGGGAGGGGGGCCTGTAGGCAGCCGGATGCCAAGAACTGCTCCGCAGGGCCTCATTCCAGGAAGTCATGGTGATCGATTCACAATTCGCTGCTGAACAGAACGAGCTGTCCAAAGTCGGGTTTTACATTGACTGAGGCTTGCCGGAGCCAGTCATGGTCTCTCATGCTGGCAGCTTCGGGGCAGTGTGAGGGAGGGGCCAGACTCAGATATCTGAGTGGGAGGGGAGAGAGGGCAGCTGAAAGCAGGGAACTCCTTTTTAAAGAAATGGGTGATGGTGACGAACAGAAGAGGGATTGGGAAACTATGTTTTCAGAGTCTGAAAATAGAAGGAAAAAACCTAACATCTATTGAGCAGCTACTACATACCAGGTGCATGGATGCCAGGTGCATACATCTTCTCAACATTTTTGCAATATGAATATTACTAAGTACACCTTGCAGGAGAGAGACTATTGAAGCCTAGAGAGGATTCATCATTTGCTAAAAGTCATCCAGAGAGAAATTGGGAAGTGTAGGTGTGTCTGTCCCCAAAGCTCATGCTTTTCCTTCTATAGTCATTCATTGGTTCAACAAATATTTATTGAGAACCTACTATGTGCTAGGATTAGGGTTATGGGGGGGGTGGTATTTGCAGTTGTGCTAGTGTTGACATCGTGAGAAGGTGACATTTGAACAAAGACTTGAAGTTGTAGAGAGATTGAGCCCATGTCTGGTGAAGGGCAGTCCAGTCCAGGCAGAGGGGACAACAAGGGCAAAGATGAGAGGGTCTATGTGTGTTCTCTGTCTGTGTGAGTGCTTCCTACCAAACACATACACATTCATACACAGGCAAATGCATACTTAGACATATACACACATATTGTCTCTCACACAAACACACAGATGCACATGCACACACACACACACACACACTCCACTTAGAAAGAAGATGGGGAGAGTATAATACCAAAATAATAAGTTTTCATTAGACAGACAGATTATTAAGAAAAACAAATATCCATCTCAGGATATTAA